CGTCATAGCATAAGCGTAGACGAGCGGTCTAATTCCATGGCTATAATAAATTTATAAATTAAAAAAACACAACTGGGACGTTTTAAAATGCTGTAATAATTAAAATGGATCAAAGTGCCGGTTATAGCAAACCATAAAAAAATATTAGATGTTATGTTTTATTATCTTTTTTCAATATTTTCTATATCTTGTTGCCTTTTACGCAGACACGCCAATGGATTTTCGTTCCCGGCATGCTTCATCCCCCTTACTAGTCCAAAAGCTAGTGATGAGTCACTCTCTATAATTTCGACGGCGGAGTATAGTATTACAGCTGTTTATATAAATTTAAAATATGTTATTTATATATAAAATATACAGTATTACCCACATTGGAGTGATGACCATATTTTGCCCAAAATTGTTCAATATGGGCCATATACATCAGAATATTACACACCCTGAATATAAAAATTAGGTCATATCATAAAAATGTCCAATACAGCAACTGTATTATTCTATAAATTTCTTACGTTTAACTTTCAATATGTCTTTCGCACTGATAGAATCAGTAAAATCATTTCATGAAAAAAGAATCATGGTCCAAGATGCATACTCCAGAGCGACCACTATTTCAACGCTTTATTAATGCACTGAACTGTCAAACTCTGCATAACATAACCAAGAGATTTACATAGATTTATCTGTGCCAAAATAGTAGACAGTACTAGACAGTGCTTCTCAATATGTAGATCCGTAGAGGTGCGCGAGAAATTCGATTCCATGGGCGTATCAATAAAGGGGATTTTAAAAATTATTAAATATATAGAACAAATGTACCAATTTTTATAAAAACCAGATTATCCTGAAATACCGAAATATCCAGCTGGTAGGTAGGTACTATTTTATTTATATTAAACTATGTATTCAGCAATTCTGTCCTTGCAGGCAAATATAGCCCACAATCGCCTGTGTATTTTTTTATTTCCCTTTTTATTAAGGAACATAACTAACTGGCCAAAAGGCTCCTGTGAAAGGTTTAATTAAGTAAAGCTGTAACAGTGAAGTGATACAGAAATGGTAAAACCATTAAAACTACCAAAAGTACAAACACCAGTGAGTAATAAGATGCACCACCGATAAAATACTAGAAACATATATAATAAATAAGCATTCATACAATAACCAATTTCTGATAATGCTATCACTATCACTGTCACTAATGCTATCACCGCTATCAAGTAAAGGTTAATTGCCTCCTACAGAAGTAGGTTTTCGTCTTTTAATTTAAAAGTTGTGTCATTTTGTGCCAAATAATCTGAGCGAATATGAATATTCGCTCAGATTAGTTCAATAGTGTTCAGCTCACAATAGTATGGTGGCAATCGAAAAAATGTAACATGAGCTTTAGCCATTTCATTCACTATATATTTAATGGATCTGGCTTTTCCTTTGTGCTAATAATTGTACTTTTGACATCACGTCATTATATTCGATAAGTTTTCCATATAACCATTCCACGATTTCCCCTTTTCTCCATGAAAATGTTAGCAGTTTTTCCATTCTTCGATTATGATAACATGCATTATCCAGGACAATTACAGCACCAGGTTCAACATTGAGGCAAACCAGATGTATACGATTTTTCAGATACCTCAGTATCCATATCCTAATGGTAATTAATCTCCTATTTCTCAGGACTCTAACCATTATTCAAAAATCTGTATTCACTTCTGATAATTATTAAGAGCGTCCCTTTTCTAAGAGGTGCCTTTAGCCACGCAGGAAATTCTTCTAAAAAATTTTCTCATCTGCCGTTGATATGTAAATCTTGCGAAACCTACACACAATTTCATTTTTAGCAACAGTGATTGAAATAACTAAAATGTAAATGTAATAACATGTCTTCCCAACTCATATGCTTATGAAACATACTGGTATGCCTCAACTGGAAATTAAGACAAGGCAGAATTTCAAGAAACCAAACCATGCAGCCTCAATTATCTCTCTTTTTGCTGATAAATGAAAATAGAAGTAGGCACTTGTAACAATAAAACATTCCAAATGCGCTGAACATATCGGAACACTATACGAAATGAATGGCACATTACAATTACTATGCAGTATGCAGAGAAAACACAAAATCATTTTATCAGATTAAGAATAAGTAGTAAAAATTATGGTTCGACTTATTTATGACTCTACTGCCTACTGTTTTGGCATTGGAGTACAAAAAACTAATATCTGATGGATTCGCCGAAAAGTTGATATAGGACAGTGCTTCCTCGACTGAGATACAGAGGTAGTCAAAGGTGTCATAAAAAGAATAACGCTCTGTGGCTCAAAAATAAATCAATATATCAATTATTTGACAGTTGAAATTGCTTTGAAAGACAAGCATAACGTGTCACCAGTTTTTTTCTGTCTTTTGTAGTTCCTCTTCTCATAAAATTTGAATCATTCTGTACACTGTTACTTACATTAAATGACCTGTCCATGTTCAATGCAGAGATGTAGTGAGTGTTACAAACCAAATAACCTGTAATTTTACTTAAACTAGTTGACCCAAAGAAATAATAATTTAACAGAAGGCAAAAGAACTATTTTAAAAGAGAAAAGTTCAAAGATGTTACACAATCATAAATTTGCAAAATGTTTATAAGAATTGACTTTAACATGCTTTGAACTTTTCCAAGTGTCATGTAATTTTAATAGAAACAGATTGTTTATGAACCAAAAACTATATTTTGTAAATTACAGTTTATATTTTATGTGTACTTATACTGTATGTATGTTTAACTTTGTACAGAACCAGTTGTTTCACTTGTTTAAATGTTTATGTTTTTAATAACTTTATATAAAGATGTTGTATGAAAGTTAACTAAATATACAGGGAGGCCCAATAATGTGGTAAGGTACAACATCTCCGTTACTATTTAGAGGATAAAAGATATTACTAGGTACCTAAAAAATGTTTTACAAAAAAAAACTCGGCAATTTTCATATAAAAAAGTGAGATGGAAAATTATTTGAAAATTATTTTGAAATAGTATTTTTTATCCGTTTCGACTTCTATTTTTTTTATATCTTGGAGTCATTGTACTTTGTCAGGCTAATGGATTGCTCTGTACAAAAGTATTACTATTTTTAAGTTTAGAGTTATGTAACAAATTTTAATTTTGAAGATTCTAATTATTCAGGTTGCAAATAAGGAGGAAGGAAATTATTTTTAATAAATACTTTTTTATTGCCATTTTTGTAACAAAATCTGCACAAATTCATTGATAACGTATGATTTTGGCTTAGCGTATAAATATGTGCAGTGGTGTGGTGTGGACCAAAAAGAGCACATTTTTAAAAACTACAAAACAAAACATCGTGCACAAAATTAAAGTTGCTTCAAATAACATAGCTTTTACCCAAAAATTATCCAAATTTACTGAAAAACAAAGTTATAGCAAAAAATCGATTTTTAACTTTCAACTTCAAGGGCTCATACAGGGTGAGCCCGAATAAAAAATTATAAGATTGTTGATATTATTTTTGTCACCCTGTATAGCAATGTAATTTTGAGTGTCTATTTGAGAGTAAAGTCTTTCTTATACTTTTTCCCAACGAATAACTTTTCTATAAAAAGAAAATTTACATCTGAAAAAAAAAAATTAAAAAACACCGTACAAAAAAAAAGATAAGGAACTTTGAAAAAAGTATTTTATTAAAACAGCAACTGCTTGTAATTTTAAAACAGTTTTTCTTGGTGCCACACCGTATATTAGATGTATAATAAAAATTACTGATATAACAATGTAAATACATTCGTACATTCCTACTTAGTTTTCCGTTTCCTTCGTGGCTTTTTGGGCTCACCGTCGCTATCGCCCTCATTGTCGACACCCTTCTTGTTCCACTCCTTCTTTAGTTCTTGCAGCATGTTCGGTGTTAAAATGCCCTGCGCGAGTAACCTTTCTGTTAACCTACCTCTCCCGACCACAGACGTCTTCGACTCTGAAATTAATTATATATTTGTATTTGTTACCAGTGATGTATAAAATAAAATTTGTACAAATAAATACCTCTTAAATACGACTGTTTTAGTCTGTTTGCGGAAAACTCCTCGTCGTCGGCCGCTAGGGTGCCGGAACTTATGCCGGTTTCCGAGTTCCTTAGCAGTCGGGTGAGTTGCATGACACCCTGCTGGATTATTTGGTCCAGCTCGCGCTGCATGTCCCTCACCAGAACGGGCTCGTTGAATAAGTCCATGAAGCGATAACTATAAAAAAATTACGTTATCTACAGGGTGTGACACGGGGAAGTGCACAACATTCCTCAGGTAAAAATAAGCAACCAAAGCTTATACCGGGTGTCCCATTTTAAAAAATACACCTGAATATCTCTTCAGTTAAGGGCTTAATGAAAAAATTTCTAATCTAATGGTGACCTTGACCATAACCTTCAAGGTCAAGCTGATTTTTCAAATGGAAACATATTTTTGACACCAGAAATGAAAAGAGCAGAAAATTTTACATCTGACTATGATCTTGACCATAACCTTCAAGGTCATTTGAAGGTCATTTTAGTTTTTGTTGCAAAATTCTACTTTTGAGACCAGAAATGAGAAGAGCGGGCCATTTCACGTCCATCTATGACATTGACCTTGACCTTCACGGTCATTTCAAGGTCAAGTTAATTTTTCAAATAGAAACCGGTATCTTTCAGACCAAAATAGAAAGTGCGGAGAATTTTGCTTCCGGATATAACCTTGATCATGACCTTAAGTTTCAAAAGTCATTTGAAGGCCATTCTAGTATTTTGCAGGCAAAACTTTAATCTTGTTCATATTTTTCTTTTTGATATGTGGGGCTCGCCATAATTTTCCAGAATACCCATTAACCCTTTGTGGCATGCATTTTTTATTCAAATGTTTTTGAACTCAGACTAGCTCAGAATTTAGTAATAGTTAAATCTGATAAGGCGGATCCAATATGTCGAATACTCGGCTCGACCTTGAGTTCTAACGTAAGTTGAAGCATTTTCAAAGTGTTAATCCATATGAATATTAAAAATGTCTACCATATTGGATTTGAATATTTTCAAATTCTGACTTCATATTCGCGATCAGCGCCCTCGAAAACCCCCAAGTACACTATTCGGCAAGACGGAAATGAATTTTGCAACAAAAAACTAAAATGACCTTCAACTGACCTTCAAATGCCCTTGAAGGTCATGGTCAAGGTCTTCGTCGGATGTAAAATTTTCTGTTCTCTTCATTTCCGGTGTCAAAAATATGTTTCCTTTTGAAAAAATCAACTTGACCTTGAAATGACCTTGAAGGTCATGGTCAATTAGATGTCCCCCTCAAAACCCTACAACTTTTATTTGAAAATTTTTTTTCATTAAGCCCTTAAGAGATATTCACGTGTATTTTTTTAAATGGGACACCCGGTATAACATTGACATTAACTTAGAAAACACCCTGTATACCAATATAACTGACTAAAAAAATTTTCTTACCTCAACCACAAGTATAAATCCAAAACGTCAAACACGGCTTCTAAATGAACCAAGTCGATTATGGTTTTTGGGGGCTGCAAAGGCCACCCTATGTTTCTGCACAACCAGTCAAAAGTAATTAGCTCGTTTTTGCTGTACTGCCTTGCAAACTACAACAAAACAAATTTAAAAAAATGTTTCACAAAAACTGCGTTACAAAATCAATCGAATATGTATTTATTAATTCCTCGTATCTCAACTTACTTTCAAGAACATGGTGCAGACAAACGGCATTTTCTTATTGATAGGCGCACAGCAAAACACGTATCTGGCTCGCAAAGGCAACGGAACGTGCTGGATCATGTCGGCTAGGAATTTAAAATCCTCGATGTTACACATGAAGTACAAAGAATCGTCCACCGTCGAAAGACTAACAAATATATCCTAGAACAAAATCAAGTATAGTCAGTAAACAACGAAATAAACTTCTCCTCTCACCATTAAATTACTAAGCGTTGAATTTGGTAAGTGATAAGCGTAAAGTTCAATCTGATCAGCGGTGGGATGCAGCCCGGCCTGTGTTATTGGCTCTGGATCAGAAGACAACCGATTTTTCAGGGTGTTCAAATCCTCTGGCTTAAATGTCGTTACATATCCCTGTTCCCACTGGGTGCCGTATCTGAAAGTGTTTATAAAGTTCTAGTTAAAAAATTACATTTTAATTTTAAAAAATTTACCTTCCAGCTCTCCCAGCTATCTGCAAAGCCGAAGACACGGATATCGTATCCATTTCCTTCTCACCCTTCTCGTTCATAATTGGCTTAATAAGAGAATAAAATATTATCCTACGAATACTCCTAAAAATGAACGAAAACATAGAAGCGAATAAAGAGTGAGAGTTATTACTCCCTACAAATTCAAACCCATTCCAATTGCGTCTGTTGCAACTAATATTTTACAACTGTTGTCAGGATCGTTGAATTTGGCGGCTTGGGCTAGCTTGGTACCTGGAGGTAAACCTCCGTAGATTACAGCTACTTCCTTGCCCGTCGCTTCGATACCTCTCGAAACAGAATAAATGTCGTTTTTACTAAAACATACAATGCAGTCTCCAGGCAAAACATTGTCCAGAGAACCTAAAAAAATATTCCCTAAATAATACAGGAATTATTTTACAAAAAAGCGAGTCAGGTGAATAAATTTATTTACTGAACACCAAAAAACAGGCACAAATAAGTTTTTCAAATTACTTTATGGAAACAATAATCAGGTAATAAATTAATTGAAATGATAATAAATTAATGAATTATCCATTTTCGACCTAAAACCATCTAACTCCTAAACTACTACCGGGACAAAAAACATGTTAAACTGCACTAACCTAAAGCAGAGTCTTCAATTTTTAAAGCTGTCAGTCTTTTATAATGGCGAACCTCCAGGTCCTCCCCAGTGGTTAAACAGAGTTGTTGAACTAAATCGATAGTTCCTGCTTCACCACAAATATGTATCTCATCAGCTATTAAGCCCAAGAAAGCCCTAGTCCAAGCCCATCCCCTTTGAGGGTCCTTTATCATCTGGATTTCATCAATCACTGCCACTTCATCTACATATTCATATATTATTTAACCCAGATAGTTTTTTTTTTAATTATTACTTACAAGGATTGTTTACTGAAGCCATTTCGACAGTACACGATACGTGACCAGATGCATTTCCAGTTGGGTCTGCAAAATTTCGTTCTTCGCCCGTTACTAAGTCGCAAGGTGTGCCCTAACACGTAAACATCATAAACAATGAAAGGCTTAAATGTTTTACTAATTTAAGTGATACAAAAAATAAATTATAAATTTACCTTACCCTGCTGTTCGTTTTATTAAACACTTCGCTAGCTAATAATTTCAAAGGACCACAATAAACTCCAGATTTGGCTGTGATGAACCTTTCTAAAGCATGAAAAGTCTTTCCAGAATTTGTTGGGCCAGCGTGGAAAATTATTTTTCTATTTATTGCTCTTGCTTGAGGATACCAGTTAGCCGGAGTTCTCAAGTCTGAAATTTTTCGCAAATCCTCCATACAGTCTAAGTGGGGAAACATTTGTTTAGCGTGTCTCAAGAAATAAGGGAAAATATCAGTAGGATTGCCTGCTCCTTGCAAAACATCACTTATCACGACATGTAAGTCAACAGGTAACGTTTGTGCTTCTAGACAGTATCTCCTGAAGCTTATGTAGCTCTGATGCTGAAGGTAATCTAAAATTTAAGAAAAATAAATGATACATTAATAATTTACATGCTTATCTCTTACTGTCCAATCCATTGTCCATAAGCAACTGTTTTATCTCCTTATTCTGGTAGAATTTATTTAAAACCTTCAATAAATCAGCCTTATTTAAAGAACCTGTGAGTTCAGCTCCTACATTTATATCATCCGGATTTGCTTTAATTTGTATAGGAACAAATAAGGAGGATAATGTAGAATCATCTTTCTTTCCTCTAACTTGAAATAATGTTACCGCATGTTTAGCACTATTTTCAGCGACTAAATTGGATCGACATAAATGAATATTTTGGAGTGCCCCACAAAGGCTTCTTAATTTTTTACTATTCTGTAGCATTTTACTACATTTACACAGACACTATATGTAAATAAAACACAACAGATAAAATATGCATTATTGAGGTTATAACCTATTTGACATTGACATTGAGCATGTTGATATTTCGGCTATATGACAGATATCAGTTTCAAACGCGACACTCAGACTAAGACACTTCCCTACCCGCTGGAAAACGGCAAACATAATCCTTATCCCAAAACCCAACAAAGATCACACCATCCCATCCAACTACCGGCCCATTAGCCTGTTCCCGGCTATGAGCAAAGTGGTAGAAAAAATTATCCTAACCCGTCTAAGAACCCACTCCCAAGAACTGCAAGTCATTCCAGACGAGCAGTTCGCCTTCCGACTCCACTGAACTCCAAATCCTTCGCCTTACCGAGCACATCACGGCGGCCTTCAACAGGGGACAGTACACTGGTGCTGCCTTCCTGGACGTCGCAAAGGCCTTCGATACGGTTTGGCATGAAGGCCTACTGATGAAAATGCTCACCAACCAATATCCCATATCCTTTACCAAACTCATAAAATCCTACCTACACCACCGAAAATTCCGCATCCAAATCCAAGATTCCCTTTCCACCACCCGTCCCATGGAGGCCGGTGTCCCCCAGGGCACCGTCCTGTCCCCACACCTATACACCATTTACAACTCCGACATCCCACATCCCCCCAACACCAACATATACTTATACGCCGACGACCTGACAATCACATCCCAATCCGTAGATCCTAGATATTCCGTCTCCCTCCTCCAAAACTCCTTAGACCAACTTGAAACCTGGTGCAACAGGTGGAAAGTCAAAATTAATCCCAACAAAAGTTCGGCTATCCTTTTTACCAAACGAAAAATCCCACAAAACCTCGACAGACTGACACTATCCCAGGAACCCATCTCCTGGAATCGACAAACACGATACCTGGGCGTGACGATGGACCAGCGTCTCACGTGGAAACCGCACATCGTGGAGACGGTGGCGCGAGCGAAGACCACCAGGGCTAGGCTCTATCCCTTACTCAAAGGTGGAAACACCCTCAGTTTAAGGAATAAGCGAACGCTTATCAAGGTGGTACTTCAACCGCAGCTAACCTACGCCTCCACGGCGTGGGGTCACGCGGCAAAAAGCCACTTAAAGTCATTACAGGCTGTGGAAAACATAGCCCTCCGCACGGCCACCGACGCGCCCTGGTACGTAAGAAACACTGACATATTACGAGACTTACAATACACAAACGCTACACAGACAATAAGACAAAACGCGGAGAAACGATTTGACGTAGCCGCTAGACATGACAATCCCCTCCTCAGGCAAGCCGTTGACTACGTACCCGACGTGACCGACAAACACAAAAGACCTAGACACCAACTTTTTGACCCTGGGTGACCACCCCAATGACCCCCCCCCTGCCCGCTAACCTTTTCTGTTTCAGAGACAGCCAGGATCAAGAAACGAAGACAACGACACACACACACACACATACACACCCCCCATACCCTCCTTAACCCTCCCCTCCCGCGCTAGCCTAAGGGCCACCTTAGCAAAGCGCATCCCAGGCTGCATAGCCGCACTACCCTACCCAACCATACCACACATAAACATGACACTACCCCCGGGGTTTACACAGACGAGCCGGCGAAGCAAGAAGAGCGCCAGAAGAAAGGGCCCTAGCCGGCGGGGCCCAGCCAGGACAAAAGGAGGTCCCACAAAGCGCCTACACCGGCCGCATTTGCGGTCGGGGTAGACGACGGATGGGGCCCACCTACGAAGGCTGTCCAGGCCTACACGAGATGAGGCAGGATAAAGAGGGATAATCCCCCTCGATCCCAAATCATTGAGGCCAATTTCTAGCCATAGAATAATGACGGCGCGTTTCACAATCTGAATACTCAGTCCCACTTCTAAACCGAAACAGGCGGTGACTATTCAGATTATGAAACGCCTTCACTATAGCCATCCTTGTCTATCGCACGGATTTCTTTACGTTACTTTGTCGCTCTCATGTAAAGGCAGATGGACCATGTGGATTTTCCAGCCCTGTATATAGAGGGGATCAGTCGGCAAGAGAGAGATAGCAATTTCTTCATCTTCACAGCAACTCTCTCTCTCTTTGCCGTTGGTAGGTCTCCTATCTATGCTTATCCGAGCAGTGCCAAAGTTCTAAACTTAATAAAAAGATTTCTTTATCTGATGTACTATTGCTGTCAATAGATGGCGAGAGAAGAGAAAATAATTTTAAAAATAGTTATTGATCCAAATTTAGTAGTTATTGTAAATAGTATGCATAAAAATGTTCTTAAAACTGATAATAATAGCTCTTTTTGATTTAATTGCTGCAAGGAATATTCATGTCTTGATGACTGAAGTATTTGAAATAGTGGTGGATCCATCGATGTTTAATTGGACCCATGAAGGAATTAAAGATCAGTATGTTTATCAAGCATCTCTTTTAAATGCCCCTGACTTACCATCATGGATGAATTTTGTATATAGTAAAAAAAATCATACAGGTATTTTGTATGGGGTTCCCCCAAATATGCCCAACACAAAAATTCCCTTAGAAATAATTGCCCTAAATAAAAAAAATTACGAAACGAGGATAGAAACACTGAATGTGATCATCTTGAATAAAAGAAAACCAGCTAGGTATGAAGTGAACATCAAAATAGATAATTTGAATGTCGAGGATATGTTTAATGTTAATCGGACTGATGCTTTGAAGGGTATTTTTCGAGAAAAACTCTGGAAAGGTAGCGGAGGCGATTTATACATTACTTTCCTTAGTTCGGCAGTAGAATTAGGTGCACGAAAACCTTTGGTTCCTGGCAAGGAAGAGGGGTAATAATACTATAACTTACCAATAACAAATATGGTTACAAATTTACGTTGAAATTGAACTATATTATCTATTCATTATTCAATATTAATTTCCATATCTGTTTTAAATAAGCTCAGATTGATTCTGTTCAAAATATTTTTTTTGTTTATGTTGTAGGGTGGTTGTTCGTTTGGGAAGTTATGAGGAATTTTCCCCAGAATTGCTCAAACTGCAAGAAGAAGTTAGGCCGTTATGGAAATTAGGCTCTTGTAACTTCAAACGAACTTCCGTTCAAATAATTTTCAGGGACAATGGCTTTAACCTTGATTGGTGCTTTTTCAGGCTGGTTAGTGCAATAATAATAATAATAATAATAATAATAATAATAAATTGGTGTAATGTGACAAAATAAGAATTTAATACTAATAAAATTGTAGATGTATAACAACAATTCTGATCTGAATCAACCGGGAGCAAATGAAAAACTGTCAAGTTTAGAAGAGAATAATTTGTTACATGATCACTGGAAACCAGTTTCCAAGTCCGATCTACCAAAAAGAAGTTATTCTCAGGAGTTACTCGTTTCAATATTAGTTCCGTTGTTAATTATGTTGGTGTTAGCCTCAACGTTATCGTTCATTCTGTGTCTTCACCATGACGATCTGTAAGTATATAATTTGATTAAAAAACTACAATTAATTAATTTATTAAATAAACAATTTAAATGGAAGTATAAATTACGCATGATTCTTATGAAAATCTTACAGAGAAGACGAAGGAAGTGAAGAATTCTTCGGTAACTTATTTCACATTTGTACTGATTATTATTACAACTATTACATTTACAGGTAAAAAGGAGAAAACTTAATAATTTTCTTAATGTTATTTTTAGTAAAAGACGTTATTAACCTACTAATTACTTACAGTTTGAGATTAAAATATATTTCACATAATTTTTCAAGATATACGGTCGCATCAAAATTAATAGACCACTAAAAATGGACTTCTATTTCATAGTGAATTTTTTTAATTCACTTCGTTATCTTTATTTCTTATTGAGCCATAAATACATGCCAGTACACCAGATTATTGCAAACATTTAAAAACTTGGATGTAACAATAATAAAAACAAAGAAGAAAATTAACCAATACTAAGTACTAATAACGGCGATGACTACTGAGCCCAATCATATTTTCAGTGTTTTCAAGAAATGCAAGGAGTAAGAGGTTGGTGATTTTAAGTTGTTTAAAATCACATCATTTTTAGTGGTGTGTTAATATTGCAAATGTGAACTGTGAATTACCAATGTATATTAACACTGAACTTACTTCTTTAACCTTTTTTTATGATAATTTGCTTTTGCTTTCCATAACACTGCAATACGAGTATATTCGTGCCAATATTATATGAAGTTATTTATTTGCGTTAAGGTATAGTTTTAGTTTTTTTCTTTGTTCATTATGTTTATTTGATTCAATTTTTAATTTAGTCACAGGTGTCAAAATATCCCATAAAGAGAGAAAAAATTCATTTCAATGTTTAAAAACTTGTTCGATTATTATAAAACATATAAAGCCTTGTGCTTAAAAGAATAAGAGTTAATTGCTTCATATCATCGCCACCTTATATTCAAACCATTATTCTATCAACAATTTTAGGAAAAGCCCAGACGATGTCCCATCGGAAGAAACAAATCAATTCACGACCATCCAGAGAGCAACGGAATCCATCCGCAGCTTCTCAAAAAATAGGGACTTGAGCATGTCCCCAGATCCAATGCTACTTTCTCGCAGCCAGACAAACAGCCCTACGTCCACCATAAGTCGTGGCGTTCACTGCAGACCAAGCCCACCACCATACGTACGGCCAAAATTCAAGCCCGAGTTGTGACAAACGGAAACGGAGGAGAAAACCTGGTACTGCTGAAGCTAATGCCACATCAAAAGATTTTTGGCTTTGTAGGGAAGGTGTTTAGAAGCGTATTATGATGTAAGTCGTCTGAATTTTTTGCATTCTGTTGAAATCATCAGAATTTTATTTGGGTGTTCAAGTTTATACGTACAGGTCAACAGGAACAAGTTTAAGAGTGAGGTACAGGAGTAAATTTACAAACAGAGAAGTGAGAACGCATTTAGAAAGAACAAGAGTGTGACACAAATTGCTCGAATGGTGTATGGGCCATATGTTCTAGGCAAGGGCTCTTTCTCTCTGGAAAACTGCTTGATCTTTTGAATGTACTGACATCTTGATGTCCATTTGTCAGAAGAAAAAGATGAAAAAATACATTGCACCTCTCCGACATCTGAGGCTGTCGGCGCCGAATAGGTCCGGCATCGGTGGTTCCTCTGGCTAGCTCATCCATAAATCTTCTAGCATGGTGTGAGGCCATCTTTTCAACTCTTTAGAACTTGGATCCTCTTCCTCCTCCTCTTCCGATTTCTTTAAGTGTAGGGCAAAGCCTTATTTTAGCTAATTATAAGCGTGGGGCAAGGTCCCGTGTTAGTTTATTGAAGTATGGGGCAAAGCCCTCTTTTGGGTTACGAATTCCTTTTTGAATAGCACTTTTTACAGGCTGCGTGACATATCGTGACCAGATTTAAGTCCGGATGATATGGAGGTCTTAATACATTGTGGCCTTTGTCACCCAGAATCTTGTCAATAATGCAAGTTTTAAAGTTGGTTTGTAGAATTTAATGAAGCTGTATAATTTTGGCCTTAAGCATATTTTCGATGAAAGGAAAATTTCTTCAGGTAAATCATTTTTTCAGAACTTCTTTCCGAGAACTCAAATTACGACATTTCTCGCTTTGAACATGTAATGTCGATTATACACTTCTAAATAGCAAGTTAAATATAACTTTCTCTTCAGCCATTTTTTTTTAAATTCATTGTCAACGTTGTATTTCCAGTCCTGCTTTTCTATTTGAATGAGGTTTTTATTCCCGGTATTTATACTGTGCCTTCGAGATCGGTTGATACAAGCCTAAGTTTGTTTTATCACTCCATGCTTTATCGTGCATATGTGAGGAACGAATATCGGATGATTTCCCTCATAATAACATTTGAGGCTTCTTAAATACTGTTGTTGTTACTGAATATCTGGTTCTTCCATCAAAAGTTTCCGATGAGACAAATTTTAAATTTATGTATTTTAAAGTGGGTACAATTCTATTAAAAAATCAATTACTTGTTGACAAAGAACTACTATGTCGCCATAAAGACGGTTTTTGGCGCCTAGTTCTTCCTTTTGTTTGATGAGTGTTTCAAAACCACCTTATTTGCCTTGCTTTTCTATTTGAATGAGGTTTTCATTCCCGGTATTTATACTGTCCCTTCGAGATCGATTGATACAAGCCTAAGTTTGTCTTATCACTCCATTGCTTTATCGTACATATGCGAGGAACGAATATAGGTTTCATCTATAAAAATTATTGGATGATTTCCCTCATAACATTCGGGGCTTCTTAAATACTGTTGTTGTTGCTGAATATCTGGCTTTTCCATCAAAAATTGCCGATGACACAAATTTTAAATGAATGTGTTTTAGAGTGGGTACAATTCTATTATAAAATTAATTACTTGTTGACAAAGAACTCCTATGTTGTCATAAAGACAGTTTTTGGTGCCTAGTTCATCCTTTTTTTTTGACAAGTGTTTCAAAACCACCTCACTCGCCACCCTGAATCTTTTTCATTTATTTTGCAATGTTTTGAAGACTATGCAAGGTCCGTGACAAGTTGATTTGCTTTCCCTACAAACTTGAAGGGAACTGCATGCATGCAACTGCATGAAGTGAATTACATTTGCATTCATCTGTCATGTTTAGCCACTTTAGATATAAATTCTATAACGATGAAACTGTTTACGGCTTGACAGTTTATAGGAAACTGATGGCACACAAAATAAATATACCTAAGGGTGCTAGGTACTAACTAATGGGGTCGCTTTTTAGAGATCATGCAGGCACTCTTGCCAGGATGTTCAGCTCACGTTTGTGGGCGGGTCCAACTCATCGTCAGTCTTATTGCTGTTGACCTGTACCTCGCTCTAAGTCTATGATAATACTTACCCCTCTTCTACTTATATGAATTTTTACCAGTTTAAATACTCATCACAGCATGGAATATATAATGGAGAATATATTAGAGAGATAAATAGAGAATATATTTCAAGTACTTTAATAAAAAAAAGAGCTGAAGATTTTGACTGTAAACTTTGAAAGAATGGATATCACAGCAACAATAATATTGAATCATTTAAAAATCAAACAGTAGCATTAGCAAATTTTCTGAACGACAATAATGTTTAAATGTATGTGTAACATTTTTTTGTAGATTGTAGGTCTGTTTAATCATTGTGAAACATATAATGGTTAATTAAATAAAACAAAAAAAAAGTAATTTTAATTTTTGTTTTATTATGTACTTATCTAAGAATTTTTAATTAAAAAGTAACTCGCTCTTTTTAATCACCCTGTATATATTACACTACAAGATCTTAAAATTTCCCAAGAAATTTACTAATTATTTAAATATATTACATTGTATATATTACAATCACAAATAAAGTGGTAAAAGATAAATAAAATTAACGGTATTGTCAAACCTAACCTAGGAATACTGCCAAATAATCGAGACGTAAGTACAGATATTATCTACAAATAAATTCAATCATTTCTACTACCGGGTTCGCAATAAATATCAGTGAGATTTTCCTCGGAATCCAAAGCGTTCTGCCTGGACAAGTGTCCAGAACTCTGCGAACAACTATGTACGCTGTAGTTACTATTGCTATGTTCTACGGAACCTAGATATAACGAGATAGATGCACTGGTGTCTTCAGACATCGTCCTACGTCTTTCCGGGTAATTTTCCGGCGAAATGATGCAACTATTGCCTCCGCCCACAAACTGAGGATCCACAAAAATATTGCTGTCAGAAAAAGCAGCCGAGGGAGTAATGTCAGTTGTGTCGGTGAGATTCTGCTCACTTCTCGTGCATTTGTTTAAAGGTTTTTCGGGGGACAAGCTTTTCTGGGAGATCGGAGACAGGGGGAAGCTTGTGGAACTGGACGATTTTACTTCTGAGCTTTGCCCCGACTTAGATGGTGTAGAAACTTCAGAAACTAGTGGGGTACTTTCATTATCGCTAGTTTCATTCAACTCGGGACTGGAGTGTAATAATTTCTCCTTCAGTATAAGAAGTTTTTCGAACCCTTTCTTCTCTTTTTTCTCTTCCTTCTGACCTGACTGATCGATAGATTTGGAACGGTTTCTCATCGACTGCCTCATAGGTTTGCTTTCGCTTTTCATCAGATTTAAGGAATTTGGTCGAGATTTTGTTTGTGAAGCCGTGTGCTTATATTCATACAATAAAGGTGTTCTATTCGACTCTTGGTTTTCGTACATGACAGAGGAATTGCTGGTACTTATGCTAACCCGTGGGTTTGTGTCGGAACACTCAGTTCTTATTACTACGTGGCGACCTTTACTGGGATGATCCCCAGATTTTAGGCTAGAATGTCGACTGCTATTTGAGGGCCTCCTTTCTGAAACTAATTTTAAATGTTAGTTAGTTACTGGCTCCACAATTTTTTTTCTACCTGGAATACCAATGTCGGATGTCCAAAATTTTTTCATTTTCTTTTTGCTTTACAGGATGTTGAGAAAATAAATGGAAAATATTGACAGAGTATTGAAATACCAAAATATAAGATGATTTTATCTTTATCTTTTAGTTTTGGGACACAGGGGGTCAAAAATTATTTTTTTTAATCGTACTTTAACCTTATCTTTTTGCATTGTGAAATTTGATACAGATAACAAACAATACTTAATGTATCAGTGTTGTTAATTTTTTTATCATCTGCTAAAAAGCAGTAGCTATAATCTCTTGAAGTGTTAACACATGTTTTAAGGTTAGGTTTTGTATAATGTACGTATAGCCACAGAGTAAGTAGTATAGCAATGCAAAATCTCATTTAACACAAAAATGGCACTCTTGTTAAAATTGCTTTTTTGAGAAAAACACAATTAACTGTCCCAAAGTCAAGAGCTTTTGTCCTTAATATACAGTGTCTGCAAACAAAACAAACAAAAAATTCAAGGATAACTTCTTTGGATGAAAAATACATCAATTTAGATCAATTTACTTTGGAACAATTTTGTTTCTTTAAAAAGTTATTGGTCTTAGAAAAATTTGTATAAAAAATTTGTTTGAAAGCCTGCAACTTTTTAAAGATTCAAAACTGTAACGTGACCTAAATTGGTTTATTTTCATCCAAGCAACTACCCTTGAAGTGTGGTTTTTCGCTTCTAGACACCCTGTATATTAATAGAAACTCAAAAACCGCTTATTTTCATTTTTATTGTATAATCAAATTTTACATTGTAATATAAAAAAATAATAATAATAATTTAGCACCTTCAAAAACCAAATTTAACGAAATACATTGCTTTTTAGAACAGATATGGCTATAATGTATTCTAAAAAATCATATATGACACCCTGTATATCAAAAACAAAAGGCGACAGGTCCCTGGTCTTGCAGGAAAAAAATTGTCTTATTTTTTTATGCTCCATCACCTTTCAAATTTTTTGTACTAATTTCCGCATCATCCTGAGTAATTACAATAAAATTAAAATGAAGTTCCAAATTAAATAACCACAACTGATTCTCATGCAGCTGATATTAAAATGGACGTCCAACATTAGAGCTCTAAGGCATACACAGAACTGTTATTACAGGATCACAATTAAAAATTTCTCTACAATTTATTATTTAACGAGGAAATACCCAATTATGTACATTAGTGTGTTAGCACACATTAAAATAGAAGAAGTAGAGAAAAGATGCTGGAAAGTCAAGGGTTACATATATAAAGCTACTAATGTATTTATAAACACAATTGCTACTCTAGTAGAGACATAACTGTACAAATAAAAAGAGAAATATGAAATATATAGGAATTCGAACGGTTATTCATGTGTTATCACAACAAAGTTGTTAGTTCAGCTGTGGACAATAAAATTTTTCAATAAAATGTCGAAAAATCAGCTAAGTATTTATATACCGAGAACAGCATGTTTTAGCCTATATTTAAAAACAAATATATTTGTTCCATAACATAATATACTACATACATAAAAATCAACTAATAAATTGTATTTAGGTATTACGATGACATTTGATGACTTTGTTGTTATTACATGTTACAATAGAGGTCAAAAGAAAATCTACTAACTTTTTGTACATCAGTGTAACTTTTAGTAAACTTGAATAGTTTTATTTGAAACTTGAAGCCAGATATTTATAAAAAAAAAAACAATTATATTAAAAACAGACTAATGAAGTTAGGTGAAGATTAAACATTCAACAGCAAAGTCACAATTACACCAACCAGTAAGTGTTCGAAACATTTTATTGTCCACAGCTGTACATGTAACATATAAAAAATTTGAGTTCGACTTCTTCTACGTTTCCAGACTCCATTTCGTCAAAGTATGTACATTTATTATGGTTAATTTTAGACACTTTTAATTATTATATGGTTTTTTAAGTTACAAAAAGGATTGTTATGCCTCTCTTGACCAAGTGGTTCCCCTAAATTGAAGTTCTCCGAAACTGTTTCAGAAAAATTAAAGTACGAATTATCGATTAATTAGTTTATATTTTCAATTTACAGTTTTGCTATGAAAAAATTTAAAAAAAATATGCTTTAGAGAAGGTCTCTATGGCATAAGGAGACTCCTTCAAGAGGCGGGAACCACGTTCTCAACGTTTACAAAGCACTTACTTGGGCTAGGAGGCTGCGAGCTGCACCTGGAGCTATGATCGCTTAAACTCTCAGAATAACCAGCGATAGAGATACTGACAGGCTGCCAGTGCATATGACCTATAGGTGAGGATTGCAATAAAACAAAATCTGTCTCACCTATCCCGCAAGAGCTGTTGGTTCGCGAGCGACAGCCTCGTTGGAAATCTAAACAAAATAAGCGACTAAGCGAGGTAGTGAGAATGGTTACAACATGCGGTTGTTAGTGCGGACGATCTAAGCGTGCAAAAGCATATTAAATAAAGCATAAATGGCTACAAAAACTGCTCGGATGAGAAACAAGAAGCAAATAGCAATTCACAGGAGATAAATCTCCAAAAATGTGATGAATCTTTTTAATTTAAATGGCACAAAATTGTATTTCAATTTTTTATGTAAATAGTCAAAAATTTTGTATAAAAAGTCGGAGATTAAAAACAAAAAAATGGTAATATCGTATAAATCATTTAACCAATTGAAAAACCAAATATTTTATACCTGTTTATATCTACTTACTTCCACTTTTACAAAAAAATTATGATGAGTGTCTAAGAAGTAGTTCGAATATGAACACTTAAAATGTTGGCATAACAGTTAGCTGAACATAAAAATAGCTAGACCACAAAATTTTATTATGTTTGTTAGTAGCGAATATTATTGAAATTTTATTACATCACACAAGTTTCCTAACATAAATAAAATAAATGTAGACCAATATAACCCAGTTTAATAAATGTTTTAGAAAAATGATGATCAGTACCACAAAGATCTGTCATTAATGTCCTAAAATCCAATAATCAATATTAATTTTATCCACTTTGTGTATTTAATAAATATCTAAATATTTATCAAAAGCAAAATATAAATAATTTTTATAATAATAATAAATTCGGCTAACAAGGTTTACCTGTATTTTTGCAATAATAAATTAAAAACAAACAAAATAAAAATATAGTACTATAAAAATTACTATATTTAAAATAAATATCGTTTAGTGCTTCTAAAAATAAAATTTTGTATCATTCTTACAGGTAAGTTTATCCTTTGCAGATAGGAAGAAATTATTTGATTGGTAAGTAGTGTATTTATGTTGTAGGTGGTCATAATTCAAGGGTACCGACTTGGGATGTAATAAACTGATTTAAATCAAGTTACCTTAGAAAAATTTTGTTCCATTAAAAAATTATAATAATGTAATGGTTTTTTATTTTATTTTTTTTTTTTAACTTACTGTCACAATTTAAATCTAGTTACCTTAGCAATGTTTATTCCTTAAAAAATGAGCTCTAAAAAAATATTTTTTTGTATAACATAATAATTGTAAAATCTGTATTACATGCGTCAATACGAATGTAATCCTAATTTTTTTTTTTTTTTTTTTTTTTTTTCTAAAACATATAGGCGGCTAGGAATACCTAAAATGGCCTTCTAATTTGTACCACCTTTCTTTCACTTATTTATTTTTTAGTTATTTTAAAAACATGAGGCAGCATTTTTGAAAACATTTAAAAATTCCACGCTATGATTTTTGTTGATATTTAATGAACGTATTTAAACATATTTTCTGTGAATGAAAAATTTTAGAGATATTTTAAGTTTATTCAACTGAGTGAGTGAGTTTTAAATTAAAAATAAATAAATAAAATAACTCGCAAACGGTTTATTTTCCTTATAAAGTTATCTTTTGCTTAAAAATTACATTAGCAATTAAGTTCACAAATTTCCAAAATTCTCAGTGGCATCAAAATCTTTCGCACAATTACCTTTCAATCTCTAATTGTATCATTAGTAAAAGTTTAATTTTTAATATTAATTAACTCTGCGATTTTATCCAAAGAACAACCTCCTAAAATTATGACATAGACTTAGGAAACATCCTGTATATGTATACTCGTAAGCTGGTGAAAATTTCGTTGTATCTGGATGATGAAACGTGGAACCACAATTTTTTAAGGGATGATTTCTAGGCCCACATCGACATCTTTCATGATGAAAGAATTCTGAACAAAATTTACAAAATAAAATCTGAAATAAGGGTCGCTTTCCCTCAGATCTCAAAATAGGTTGCACCTGTATGTGCTTTCTTGTTTTTTTAAATAATTTCATTTCTGTTAAAGTCCACCAAATTTCATCATGAAATTTAAAAATGGGATGTTAGTATTAAATCAAAATTTGAACAGGTATGACTACAAAAAATATACTTTTTTTTATTAAAAAAACACCTTATTGTATCTATCACTTAATTACAAAAAAAAAATTTTTTTTACATATATGTGTAACACTTTTCGAGACCTTAGGAGAGGCTATCCCATTTTAAAAATATTCACAAACAATAGCTAAAAAATTTTTTTGTCTTTATATGAAAAACTGTATGGGTCTCACGTTTAATTATCAAAATATGACTATAATTTTCACCATCCATTACTGCTCATAAGTTTTGTCTCATTATCTGCACAGTGTTACAAATATCAAAAGAGAATTCCAGAACTGTCTCTGCTTATGCAATACGTAAAAAAATGGGAAAGGGTTAACCAGGGATGCCACCATTTCTTAATCCGTCCCTTAACGAATTGTAGAAAATAATTTGATGTAAATCAGTTTTCAGTAAAAAAAATAATACCCTTAAAGCATGGCCCATTTGTTTACAGACAGTATACCTTTATGTCAGGAATTAAGTAACAAAAAGAAATTTGAGATGTGTGATATAATAATTTTACATATTTAAGGGGAATTTTGTAACCAACTGGACAAAAAAAATGGTAATAGGATGTTGAATAAGTTCTCGTTGTTTTATTGTGAAAATTAATGCTTTATTTAAAAAAAAATTAGTAAAAAAACATCATGTCACCAGTCCCAGTACTTTTCCCCATCTTTCTGGCAGAATTCTAGTTCTACATCGGAAAAACGACGAATATGGCTGTTGGGGTAGGATTTCCCATTTAAGCGTTTCCAACTAAGTTTTCACCGATACTGAACATGTGTCCGAGCATTGACATGCTGCAAAATCACTTTGTCGTGTCTTTGCTTGTACAGCAGCTGTTTTTCCTTCAATGCTCGGCTCAAACGTATCAATAGTGACCTCCTGTGATGGTTTCATTCGGTTTGAACAGCTCATAATAAACTATACCCAGCTCCCACCAAATGCAGAGCAGAAGCTTGGAACCATGGATATTTGGCTTTGCCAATAATGTTGACACATGGCCAGGCTTACCCCACGACTTTCTTCCCTTAGGATTTATCGTAGGGTATCAATTTTTCATCACTTTTCTTTTTTGCCCGTTGAAGCAGCTGTTCACACGTGCAAAGATGCTGTTCGAAATCTTTCGGCTTCAACATGTACAGCACCCAATTTCCTTGCTTTTGTAATAAGAGCCGAGACTCGTGATAGATTGTTAGTTCTCAGAATGGATGGGCCAACTCAGTCAACAATAATTATTGAAAAGTTAAGGGTCTTCAAGTAGGTTTAGTGTCGCCATAAAGTCGTTGAGAAACTGGTGCCTCTTGCCACCGGGAGTAATAAATTTGCAAAGCTCGACCATCGCAATCCTTCGGAGACGACCTAATGAAATTTAGCAATGATTTTGAACAAGTAGACTTAGATCGCCATGTGTTAGGCATCTGGTATCGACTAACTGCGTCGGTTCAGCCCATGGTAAAGGAACAAAATCGATATTTCTAATAACGCGCGAAATACATTCGAAAACACGTAGGAATCCCAAAATATTGAAATAAGTTATTAGAATGTTGTGAGAAAAATGGTATAGTAAGACATTTCAACCCCCGATATTCAGGGAGGCCACCAATAAGATAAGAACAGAAACTTCTGGACCCAAGAAATGAGTGTCGAATTCAGAAGAGATTTCCGAAAAAAAGGCAGTTTCTCCTTGGATTCCACACTGGGCAGGTTTCTTAATTTTAGAGTCTCGGGTTAATTTAATAACGGATAAAGTCTTTCCAAATTTTGCTATGAATTCGCGTTGGGTTCCCTGAATCTCGGACTGCGATGTCGCATGTAAATTAATCAATAATGTTTGATTGAATCCGCTGTGTCTTCGTTATTTTGCTTGTTTTTTTTTTGTTATTAAAACCCTTCCTGGAAAGTTTTGGTGTTTTATTGTTCTGCCAACTTAAGTGTCTTCCTATACAACCAACCACTAGTTAGATTCTACATGAGCGACGTACGGTAAGTGTCGAATTCATTCTCTGAATGTACATTTCTAAGTTCCCACGTATTAATTAAAGTGTAGATGATAAAAATTATAAACTCCCTTTCGAGAAGTAAATGATAAACTCTTTTGTAGGTTAATCGTTATGATACTGGTCATAATGGTAGATGGTTAAATAAAGAATTAACCCCTCAGGTTACACTTTTAAATAATTCTTAATGCTTTCAAACGTTTCGAAATTGTTGTGTGAACAACTCCTAATGATTCTCCAAGTTCAGTTTACTTCTGACATGAGTTTTCAAGAAACAATGCCCCCAATTCTTCAAAACTGTTTCGGTGTGTCACAGCGTTCTTTATCTTCAACATCAAAATGATTATTTCTGAAGCGTCTAAACCAATCTCCGAAAGTCTCAACAAGAATTCTGTGATTCTGCTGCAGTTTTTTTTTTAATAAAGTAGTGCAGTAAATTCCCCGCAATACTCTTTTTTCAGCACTGAATTTCAAGCTTGCTTATAGTACCACCTTATAGGTGTGTTGCCATCTTGAACTACAAGCATGCAGGATTGGTAATGCCATCTGTTGGAAAACAGCAAGAACTTATTCAACGTCCCTATAAATCCCCAAGCATATTCAACTCTAACCCAACAGTACTGAAATCGGGATAAACTACTTACCTCCAATTTAAAAAGGTTTTTCCTTTATTTTTACAATTTTACAAATTCTAGGCTAATTATTGAAGTTGAAATGAAATAAGATTGAGCCTCAAGCAGTGGGGAAACCCCCAAGTGTACAAATTCAGTCAGACTTAAAACAAGTGTTCTCAAAATAAATAAATCTATAGTAGGATCATATACGATGCAAAGTAGAGCAAAAAATTGTCGGTCTTTTATCAAAGGAAAATCGTGTCATCAATTTTAGGAGGCGTAAGATGATGAACCATTTCAAATTTGAAATGAAATTAAATGTAAAATCTGAAATACCGCTGAATACACATTGTGTTCTGGTAGTAGCTGTAGTCGCCCAGGTGCATTGAGTGTACAAAGTATTCGGTTATACGTTAAATACTAACCTAGGCGAGCTTGGTCGTAAATCAGTGACCGCCCCTAAAAAACAAATAAACAACAGCACGTACAGAGGTAAAATGTAGTACATATGTGAAATTTAAAAAACAAATTGGATTTATAATAAACTACATTTAAAATAAATAGGTTATAAAGGTATTTTTGTAGGAACAAGGGTGCCAGACGGGAACTGATCCCTTTGTCCCTTCATAATGTAAAAAGAAATTATTCAATTTCTAAACCCCTTAAAAGCGTATTGCACTGGATCCCTTAACAGACAATGATTTATTACTTTGCATCAAATATGATCCTACTAGTAGTTTTCTTTTATTCTATCAAAATACGAGTGATGTTAATATTGAAAAAAAACAAAAATTTCTTCGGTTTTTTAAAAAATGCCGACAAACTTCCAAGAATGACTGAATTTAGTTCGAGATACATGCAGTTGATAAGCTTAGAAAAATTGTCTTGTCGTGTTAACTTCAAAAGCGGATTTATTAAAAATAAATAGAATATGTACAGAAGTGAAGTGACGGAAGTCACGGCCAAATGCATAAAAGAAATGAAAAAAGGAAAAAGAACAGTACATGCAACCGTACACAGCTATTGAATTCACTAGACACAAAACGAAATCCACATAAACACATAAAAAATCAGAAAAACACATGCTGGTTCGAAATTGTTTTATTCTGGTATAATAAAATAAATTACATTCAGGCAATACTAAAACTAAAATAAATATTTTATACATGTAGAAATCGTGGTTGCGGGCTGGAAAGTGAATTCAATAACTGTATAAAGTAAAAAGAAAAGAAGTATAGATTAATGTTGCAGTAAATATCTGACTATAAATAATAATACTGGCAATGAATAAAACTATACAATATTTTATATGTATATTATAAATATTGAAGACAGATAACCAGAAATTTCAAAAGGAAACTAACAATTCTTAGTGTTTCATCACTTTTAGCACAACATCCTCAGGACCGCCTTAAATATATAATAAATATAAAAAATTTTTTATGTTAAGGATTTATAAAATTATTGTTACTTCTTTGCATTTTAAATTTCCATGAAGATGTGTTACTCGGTGTAACTTTAAGTGAGGGTCAGTTTTTTAGAGGTAGGTATAGTTGTTACGATATCAATTGGAACCTGCGAATCTTAAAGCACAGGACCGTTTGCACTTCTCTTGAAATTTCTTCCTATGCTTTAGCCGTGATCTGTCTCATAATTTATACTCGAATAGCCATTGGGCGAATCCGCTGGTCGTCAAAGCAGACCTGTATTGGTCCACTAAGTCGTAAATAATTTTTTGCGTGGTATTCTATAATTAGTTTAATTTTATAATTAGTAGAGTTTATGAGTTAAATATTTGTATACGGTTACAACTGATATCGTAACGACTGTATGAATAATAATCCGAAATTATTTTTCTTAAAATCCAACAAATATAATTCATTTTTTTTTCCTACACTTAATCAATTTTTTAAGATATCACTGGGCAACTCCCAACCTCGGTTGTATGTCAACGCTCATTTCTATTGCTTGTTGTTACCTTTTTGCCAAGTGTATGAAATCAAAACTGGAAAGTAATTTTGTAAAACAGGTTAACTTTATATGACTTTGCAACATGTTATGTTAAAGTCATCATATTTGATTTTTCAATGCAAACGGAACGCGAAATATTAAAGAAAATTTTGAACATTTTTAAAAAATTTACCTCTTTTTGCACAATTTATAAAATATTAACTAATATTGGTACGTCGACAGGAATATGTTGCAAATTTAAGTAAAACTGTCTTAAAATAATTATTTTTTATAAATATAATTACTAATCTGATAGATTTGAAGCATTTTTTTAAATCATTTCGGGTTTTTAAGAAAAGCATATTAATATTTTTTTAAGCACTGTGTTTAGCTTGCGAATCTCAGTGTCAATGACCTTGATATTGACTTTAAGAGGGCTCTAAAGCAAATTGGCAACCAGCAATACATTTTTATAGATTCTATAGACCTTTTTAGCTGTCACATACGCCAAATAATAGGCAACCCTATAGTACGCAGTCATGAAGAATTTGTCAATATTTTAACTAGATCGATTTTCGACCTTATGTACTTTGGACATAAGTGCCAAAAAAATTGCTTCTTTGTCATGATCTTAAATATCGCGATATTCTGGCAATATTAGAAATATTTAAGAAGTTTCAAACCTCAAGTGACAACTAAAAGAATTATAGAAATTATATATTTAAATTTATAGAACAATATTGACTTTTACCGTAATTAGTAAATTAAAATGATACCAATGTTACTGAGCATGCAGATTAAAGATAATTTCGTGCAAGTGAAGTAGCCTCGCAACAGGATATCATTCTAGAAAAGTTTGGTTGCGGTTAAGAGTATGTCTATAATAAACCACTTGAAGAAAAAAACACTCGATAAACACACCGACACAGTACAACACCAAAAAAAACAATAAAAATACTTAGTATGCCAAAATTAAACAAAACAAAAGAACATAGGCTAATGATGACAGCGATAACTTATCAACAGGATTTCACCTGCGTATGAGGCTATTGTTTCTGAGCACGAGCATTAGGCTAATGTTAAATTTTGACCTTATTTAAATTTAGGAATATTTTTTTATAACGATTTTTGTAAATTTTAAGGAGGTTTATCTGATTTGAAATTGACGAACAAATATTCATAAAAAAATTAATATAAGCTTAATATGAAGAAAATCCTCAAAAAAAATTATGACTAGTTTGGATACGTAAAAGACGAGATATTAATAAAATAATTTTTCACGATTTAGTACGAAGTCTTATGAGAATGCAGATTTTTTTGGCCTTTCCACTTAGAATGCGCAACAATTGACGAATAGTTTCCACAGCAACTTGTATAAATAGAAAACCAATATCTAAGGAACTGTATGACAGCTCGTAGAAATCGATTAAGTACTTGTAAGATACATAATTTATAATAATTCTCCTTCAAACCGCTGTCGTTGACTAACTTAACCTCCATATGCGTGATAGCGGCAACGCCGCGGTTCTCGACGTAGCGTATTATTTGAAATTCGCAGTAGTGACATATGATGTAAATTTCAAGCTTACAGAATGATCAAATCCAAGTGAGCAAATGCCGATCCGAGCTCGCCAACCAAGTGCAACATTGCCAAATTGAAACACTACATTAGTCACTAACGAATCTACAGAAACTCTCATTTGACTTTAGACGTACCCGATAAACCTCTTTAAGCACATTAGTGTATCTATTTTACGAAACACGCATTGGTTGTTCTTAAATACTTCCAAATCCTTGTAAAAATAAATTAATTTGAAGTTGTTCATTTTATAGTATCTATGTAAATAGTACACAAGGGTCAGATTCGGTCTGCACAATTTCAACTATGACAATTTGTTGCGGGTTGTCTAAATATATGACATCACACTAAAAGAATCTATTACACAGTTTGTCTAAATATGAATTAATGCACAAATAACAGACTTTCCTCCATTCTAACGAAGATTTTCTATAAAATGGAGTTAGTTTGAAACTCAAATTACTTTTTGTTGTAAAGCAATTTGTAATTTGCCGCTTTTGAACAAGTAAATTACAAATTTCTTTGCACCAAACAGTAATTTGAGTTTCAAACTAAGCCCATTTTATAGAAAATCTGCGTTAGAATGGAGGAAAGTCTGTTATTTGTGCATTAAATCATATTTAGACAAACTGTGTAATAAAATCTATAAAACGTATTGCTAATTCCTATTTGCTATAGAGCACTCTTAAGTAAACTGCATATCAATCCACCTGATGTGATTCGACAACAGGATAGACAAAAAAACAACACTCAATGTTAATTCGTTGAAAGAAAATGCCCAAATATGTCACCATCTTATTTTATTACATTTATTTTAGTTCTCAGTTTATCAGTTTACGAGACTGTGTTTTTAATATCGTTAGAAATTTTACGACTTACTACCCAAAATAATAGTTTTACTGTAATCGAAATAAAATTTGTATAGTGTAATATTCTTTTATTAAGTCCAATTTCATAGTAAAATTTTAAATGTTATTTAATTAAGAGTTTTGTGTAGTGTAGTATAACCTCATACAAATTTCTTTATTTCAGTGTTCAGTGTTGGTATGACATGTGTGTGCCTTTACTGTTCATCTGTGTGATAATTTGAAAAAAACATGTATAAGTATCAAGAAAAATGAGATTTGACAACAATGCGTGCTGAAGTTCCCAATTGCGACGCTAACCCGGCCAGTACTAGGGTATGATAATAAAAAAACAAAAAAGAACAGCTAGAAAAAAATCAAGTTTCACAATGGAATTTGAAAAACCAAACAAGTACCTCTAAGAATCAATAAATATGACCCCCATTCAAAATAACACCCTGTATAAGTGATGAAATGTCGTCGATATTTTAAGATGCCAATCGTTTTAATAAGATTCAAAAACACTTGAAAAATTTAAAAAGAAAAAACCAATAATCAAACTTCCACTGCAATTAAGATTCCAGCTTTTTCTATTAAATAAAATAAATTACTTACTATCACCACTAATATTTTTAAAAATATATTTAAATTTAATATATTCCTAAACGTTATGGCACTCGATTGAACTGGAATGCATATGTACAAAAAATAAATTATGGATCAAATCTAAACCCGTCACCAAAGATCTCGTTCTCTTTCCGAGAGGAACCTGGTTTGTTTGTTTTATTGAACGACGGTTCGTTGTACTCTACTTGAATGACGTTATCGTCATACTTCACTTTTTTACTGCTCTTTTCGTTAGGAGCTGCTGTGACACGTGACTTGTACGAAGTCTCTGCGTTATTATGAGATTCACCTTGAACGGATTCGGGGCTCGGTGGAATGACTGAAGTCTGGGGTACATCGGGTTCTATTACGATTTTTGTGTCTTCCGTTTCTTCTAGTACGTCCTCGCATGCTTCCTCGTTTAACGTTTGAAGAGCCCCGCAGATCATTTGCTCCTCTAAAGTTACCTGAAATAAGTGTTAATATTATTTTTTCAAAGGTATTTAGAAGTAACGTAAATAGCAAAAAATTTAATAAGCGGTTTTATTTTTCATTATTGATATAAAAATGTACAGGGTGAGACAATTTCGGCACTTTTGGGAGGTTTCTTATATTTTCGAACAAAAAGTAGTTCAAATGACCTGACTTTTCAGTTTCGAGAAAAATTAATATATTGATCCATTTGGAACATACGGGGTATTTTTCATTTTTGAAAGCAATGTTAAATAATCTTAGCTATATGTTAGATCAGTGGTTCTTAACCTGTGGTCCGCGAACTCCTGGAGGTAAGCAATCTCCTCCAAAGAGGTCCACGAAGTTTTTAGGAACATTTAAGCACTGATAACAGCTAATGAAGAAAATACACTCTCTTATGTCAGAGAGTTACTTATTGTTTATCTTTTCAAAATTTAGTTTGGTGTGCAATTTAGAATTAATATTTCAAACCCATTAAAATTGGGACTTATATCTATGTAAGTAACTTGGAGGTTCGCAACAAAAATATATTGAAAGGTGGTCCACGGTAAACAAAATGTCAAGAACCGCTGTGTTAATATTGGTGGTATAATTCAATACTGGACAGGGCATCTAGCCCACAGAATAATTGTATCCCACAATATCATTAATTAAAAATATTTTAACCTACTTTTCGTCTATCCCTTCGGGAAATACAAGAATTCTCCCAAAAGTGTCGAAATTAGTCTAATCTGTCAATATATATTTTTTTCAAATTAAAAGCGATAGTAAAATTACAGCAAATAAGTCATGCACTGTCATCCTAGACAAAATTTTCATCCAGGAGTTGGGCTAAATTCTAATAAACCAACAGTTTAGAGAAAAATCTAAAACCTAATCTTTATAACAGACCGCTTCAACCTTACATACCTGATACTGAGAGAGCATGAAAATATTTCTCAATTATTGAATATTTACAAAGATTTACAAAAAAAATTTGAATATACAGGGCGTAACTCTAAGTGAGGCTCAGTTTTTTTTAGGGGTAATAACATGTGCTCCCCAGAATACTAATCAATCAGATAGTCCAGTAGTATTTAAAAAAAATTAATATACAGGATGTCCTGTTCATGTTTCAAAATAACTTGCGTGCAAGTTCCTTATGGGAAAATAATGGAGGTAGTTCATGTAACGTTTTTTTCTTAGACGCCCTGTCTTCGAGATACAGTGTGTTAAAGTTGTTACTTCCCAGATAGTTTTAAATGTTTAAAATTATATTCTTAAATGCAAAGACTATTGATAGCTAAGTCTTCGGCCCATTCAATGGTAACGTCCTCTTTCCATTTAATATTCTGTTAAAGTGCTTGTGCCGATGTATGTGAGCAAAAAAATACAACTTCATTTTTCTCAAAAATGGTACATACTACCGAATTTCGACAAGTATACCTTTTTTTTTGTAGTATGCTTCAGAGTATACAAAACCGTTTAGAAATGTAACAAATTTTAACTTTTAACATATTTTTTTTTTCAATTGTACCGCTTCCAATTACCAGTATCGGTGACACTGCTTTTCAGAAAAAAACCGTATGTACATTTTTCATAACATACAGTTGATGTTTACTCGTGTACAAACTTTGACATTTTTACTCAAAGATAATTAAGGAAAACCACTTGGAAAGTAACAATTTCAACACACTGTATCTCGAAAGCAAGGCGTTAAAGAAAAAACGTTACTTACATAAACTACCCCCTATTATTTTCCTACGACGAACTTGCATACAAGTTTTTTGGAAACATGAACGGGACACTGTATAATATATAAATTAGCTAAAATTAGTATGTGGATAGGTACACATTACTAATATAAGTAAAACTAATTTGTTTTTACATAGCTTACGAGAAGGTACTTTGACAACTGTCTGAGAGAAATATTAGTTTTTAGTGGACACTTAATAGAATTAGTATAATCCAGTGTAGTGTTTTATTAAATTTAATATTATAGGACAATTTAAAGTGGTGTTTAACTCATGTAAGTGTAATGTGTAGTGTAAGTGTAGTGTAGTGTAAGAGCAGTGTAAGTGTTGTGCAAGTGTAGTGTAGTGTAAGTGTAGTGTAGTGTAAGTGTAATGCAGAGTAAGTGTAGTGTAAGTTTAACTTTATTTATTTCAGTCTTTAGTAACGGTATAATGTGTTTGTTTATCTTCATTGTTAAATATCTGCGTGATATGAAAAAATATGCATACAAATCAAGAAAAATGAGATTTGATCACAATACATGCTTATACTAGCTCCTTTGAACATGTGGTATAAAAATTACAAAAAAATCAGTTTTTACAAAGTAATTTGAGAAAACAAACTTATATGTGTTTCTAAAGATCAAAGGTCCTCTGTATAAATATAATCCCCATTCAAAATTACACCCTGTATAATAAACTTATTTGAAATTATTTTATGTTAAACCATAATTTTATCTACTATATTATTTACACAGTGGATATGCGGATGGAGTTGAAAAAAGGATTTTTTAAATTCTCATTTCATGAAAAACTCCCTCCTACTTCAAGTGTACAAACATTTCTTCTTGAGCCAAAATATACAGGATGTTCCTACAAAAAAATAGTTAATAATATAGTAGGTAACTTTGTTCATAGAATGATGGGTTCATTAAAAAATACATAAGTAGCTAATTATTATTATTTTTTTTGTTTCATACAGGGTATCTTTGTATTGCTTTAATGATAGATCTCAATGGCAAAAAAATTTTTGAATTGTAGTAGGAATAGACATAAAAAAACATCGAAGTTTTTTTTTTGATGTAATATATCGTATGATGACATCGATGTTAGAATGATATATCGAAAAATACTTCAATATTTTCAATACATCGATCGTTTTTATAGAGTTTAATATGATTATAGTTTTAAAATACCTAAAAATGAAACAAAATGTACCTGAAAGTGAAGGCAAGAAAAATGAAAGATGCGTATTGGTCAAAAACCTTTATTATTAACCAAAGAAAATGGGAAAAAATTTTGGGATTCTTAATGCATTTTCAAAAATTTTCAAAATGGTGTGAAATAAGCTAAATTTCAAAACAAAATTTTTTTTCAATCAATAAAAAAAATAGAAAACGAAAAAACACTGAAATTTATAAAAAATGTTTTTTATAAGAAAAAAAATTTTTTTTTTCAAAAATGGAAATCATTGAAAAAACTTCGTTTTTTTTCGAAAATTGAAAAAAAACAGTGAAGATGGGTCCAGATAATTTTGATCTATTTTTTTCAAAAAGTACATTTAAAAACAAAAATTTTGAAAAAAAAAGCCCCAATAACTCAATTTTTGAAAAAGTTATGGTTATTTAAAAAGAGGCTATTTTTTCAAAAATTCAAGTTTTTTGTTGGGTGAAAACATTTGAAAAAATTCTCGAGGTTTTCAATGGAGTAGAAAACAATAAAAAAATTTCAGCCAAATCGAAAGGGGTCAGTGTTAAAAGTGGTCAATTTGGCAAGGAATGCCCCACATGTATCAAAAATGTGATATTATTTTTGTAAAAATTTTGGTTTATCTACAATAGAAAATGTTCTTTTTGCACCTGTCAAACCTCGTACAAGACATGAAAAAATGTTATTAGGAAAAGCTGTTCAGAATTAAAATTTATGGCCATATGCCAAAACTGGAAGTAATCATCATATATGCCCATGCCGAAAATTTTTATTCTAAACAGCTTCTAACAAAATCTTACTCTATTAGGACACTTTACCTATAGAAAACTCAGAAAATGAAAAATGTTCCACGAATTAGTTTCCGATCAAACAGATTTGATTTTTTATTTCCTGTAATTTATACCAATTTTTTTTTCCATTGACACAGATTGTTAAAATAATATAAGGGCACCCAGTATTAAATATTGAAAAACAATAAACTACTTATGTGCTTTGTAACAAGCTCAACGCAGTATTTAAGTTCTAAGAACAAAGTCACCTAATATTTTTTTAACAGTTTTTTAATAGCAGACTGTATATGCTGACCCACTTTAAACTGCATTTTTGAACGTTTGAACACAAGCAAAATTTTTAACGAGTGACTTTTCTTCATAAAATGAAAAATAAAAAAGATTTTTCTCTCTTCAGCTCCATCCGTACACACTGTATAAATAAGAAATTTAACATTGTGACTTACCTGTTTTTCAATGATACTTTGTTTTCTTTGTGGTGGTCCGTCCACCTGCATTTTACCCGATTCTTTATCGCTGGAACCACTGCCCTTGTTGATGCTACCTATAAAAAACTTAATTCTTTCAAAACATATTCACTTACATTTAAAAACATTTTAATAAACAAATTAAATAATTTTTACCTCTCCTTTCTAGATGCTTCACACTTTTAACAGGCTTAACCTCGTCCTGGTGCAACAAGCAAGTGATTTCGTGCTCCCTCAGCGATATCAGCGCAACTTTAAACATTTCCCAATCTCCGAAAGACATGCTCAACAACTACAAATCAAGAAAATCATTAACATTTCAGCAAAAGAATACGCTCTAACCTTTTTTAGTTCGTCCAAGTCACAGTGCAACAACACCCGACCGTTAATGTTGTTCTCTTTAATGATTTTAATGTAATTTGGTAACGCGGCGGGATTTAAATCCTCCATCTTCGAAAGGAGCTTGCACACTCCCTCAACGTTTAGCGCAGACAGTCTGGTTTCGAGGACTTCGGGCTAAAAAATATCGAGTCTATAGTAAAGAGTAAATAATGAAATAAAAAAAAACTAAAATAATACCTGTAATATTGTAATGGGAGCTAAAGGTACTTGCTGCTGAATGGGCATGGGATCGTTCCAGTGCTGCCAACCCAGTATCCCATGCTGCACTTGAGAGTACAGCATAGACTGTCCGACGGGTGTTGCTTTAGGGGTGGTTCTTACCCTTCTGACTAATGCGGGTTTTGGGGAATTCCATTCGTTCGCATTCGGCCAGCCAGACATTTGCTGAATGGACTGAGGCGTTAGGCTCATATTTCTCGACGGACCCATAAGCAGCCCATCGTCTTCCAGACACTGGGTTTCTTCTGTAAACATCAAATTTAACGGGATATTTATTGACAAACACACTTTTCACATCAATATACTCACCTTTAATAACTTTTTTGAGGTAAGGATCCAAATTAATGGTGAACGGTAGGAATATCTTTAGGTCACTAACTAAAAGACTCGACCGGTGAAACGTTAAGAAAATGTCGAATTTCTTTTCGTCCCTATCCAGTTCCAAAAGAGGTTCTGTGTCTTTCACCGATGGAATATGTGGCCGGATCCTACAAAAATTAAAGATCAAGAGTTGAAACGAAAACCCCGTTTTGTCTGACAAAGTACAGCGATATTCCTGTAGATACACAAAATAAATTTCTATTCTCATCTCACAAAATAGGTCGAAATAACAAGAAATAGTGCTTATTTCTGATGGAAAGCTATGTAGTTGCCTTCGCCAGAAACAACAGTAGATGTAATAAATTAATTAAAATATAAGTTAAAATTACAACCTAACATTAAAAACTTGAGTAAAAGCATTCGATACATTCAAATTGTATGGAAATTGGAATGCGGCATTTCTCTAGTAATTTTTTTAAAGAATCGAGGACATATTAGTCATCAGAATTGAGCAATTGAATAATGACCACATTCTAACCTCAAAAGAGTCAGGTAATCAAATTTCTATATACAAAGTGTTTCTGAAATAAGTGTATTCCTTGAAAAGGGCACGAAAATGAGCAATTTTTATTAATTTTTTTTCGAGAAAATGAATTAAGAAAATTAACCATAAATGTAAGCCGACCCTGTGCATCTTGTGCACGTGCGTTGTGTAGCAGTATTACTCGTGACATTGGCCGAGAAGTGGGTGTATCTAACAGTACCCAGTGGGGTATACTAAGGGGACAATTATTACACCCATATCAATTATAAAGGGTTCAGGCATTAAATAATAATGATTTTCAGCCCCTTGTGGAATTTTGGCAGTGGTTTCGACATCAAATAGCACAAGATCTCGATTTTACAAGCAAGGTGTTTTTTACGGAATGTTATTTTACTAGAGACGGCATACTAAATTTTCACAATATTCACTATTGGTATGATGCAAATCCTCACGTACAGAGATCTCGGTTCCAGCAACGGTTTTCAGTGAATGTGTGGTATGGTGGCTTTGGTGACAGAATTCTGACCGTCGTTTGGAAACATGTTTATTAGCACATGGAAACAACTTTGTAAATCATATCATCTATTGATAAGTAATTCGTTTATTTGTTTAATTTTTGTGTTACTTTTAAACAAGATATTGAGGATTGCTTTCGGTGTGCAGCAAAATAAAACTCTCTCTCTCAACAATAAAATAAAAGTTTTTTTATTGAAAACAAAGTGTAGTGAAAAGAAATTTTGTTGGGGCGAGCGTTTGTTGGAGAGTCTGGTGTGGAGTTGCTCCCAGGTATATGTATCACTTATTTCAGAAACACCCTCTATAGGTTTGTCTGGGCGCTTGATGACTGCGTGGAACAATGGAAAGAAACAAATAAAATAAAAAACCTTGTTTGCCCAATAAATACTACCAAAGTTGTACATTGCTGATTGTAAATGTTATAAAAAAATTTACTTATTGTCTTTACAGCTGTGTAGGTATCTATTATTTTCCAGTAGGTACACTAATAAATTATTAATATGTATAAGACAATAGTACATAAATGAAAGGTCAAAAAAAAAACAATTTTAAAAACAAGCTTTTATTAAAATGCACTAAAAAAAAATTAACCAAGATCAGTAGGTTCACGTTCTTATGTGATTTAAAAGCTTGTGGCGAGGTTTATTCCTAATTGGAATTTTTATTTTAAGGGGTAAGTTAAGGAAATTATGCGTCAAGCTTTTAAATAGCATAAGATGAACATACTGATCTTGGTTTATTTTATTTTTTTCAGTGCATAAAAGATTGTTAACCAATTTTTTTTTTACTATTCATTTATGTACTGTTTAGTAAAAAAAAATGTTGTCCACCATATTGAATTTAGTGTGACATCATTTTATTTTCGTATTATTCTCAGCAAACCCTTTCATTTGATACCCACATCATGGGGGTGCATAAAAAATAAATGGTCCGCCATCTTAGTTAACCATGCATTGTCATCCAAACTAAACGTGTATGGAAAATTTCAGGTCAATCAGATGAGGATTAACTGTTTTAAAATTCATTTGCAAGATTTGACCGATACTAACAAGGCAAGTTAAATAAAAGCTTGTAAAAAGCTTGCAAAAAAACAAATAAAATACTTCTAAATGATTTAAATTTACAGCTCGATTTAGTTCTTATGCAACAATTTAATTTTTATTTTGTTGTGTATTTCTCTCTTCTTCATAATATGATAGGCAACCCTAATACCCAATTTCTAGCCCTTAAAGTGTAAATATTTATGACTCACTTATCGTAAATTGACTTCAGCGAGGTATTGTCATCCAAAGTGTCCTCGTACAAATCGTAGTGATAAATAATCCAAGACGTCCGGAACGGCCACTGTTCCGTGATATTGATCCAAGAGGCTAACCGATACCAGTTGAAATCGATTTGGAATGCTTTAAGTAAACGCCCTGAAGAAAGATGTACATATAAATTTGTCTAAAGTGGCCGAAAACAGTACCTGTCACATACACGACGTTCATCAGTCTTCTCATGGAACGAGGATTCACATCGCTAAAGTAATCGTCAGTAAGTAACATTTTGGTGAGATCTTGTGCTCCTCCTATCCTATTCAGATTCGACCCTATAGAGCTGGCTACTGATTCGGATGTTTTGAATTTACGAGAGCCTTTTCGGCCCGCAAACTTCCCGAGGTTCTCCTGGCTGGACATTAGTGCTTTTTCGTTCGACAACCTTCTGCTGGATGACTAAAAAATTGCCAAGGTTGTTTTCAACTGAAACTGAGTCTATTGTTAAACTTACCGATCTGGCTAGGAAACTGTTGAGGTTGTCGTCGTCTGCCGACCAAGATCCCGTCTGTTTCCGATGGACGGCGGCGGTCTGTTGAGCAATTTTAACTTTCCTCAACCCTGAATTTTGCAAATAAAATGGCAAGTGCACCATGTTATTTAAGTAATTGTGGCCTCCGATATTGCTTTCGCTAAACAACCTCCTTGTATTCATTTCTACAGCCTGTGACGACAAAGAACTTTATGAAAGGGGAATTCTTTATTAAATTAAAACAAGAGTTAGTCTCAATTTACACAAACACATCTAACATTAATTGGCAGTTAATTTTGTGAACTGAAGACAGGAATTCATTACAGTTTTTCATCACTAAAACAAAATACAGAGTGTTATTGAATGTGACAGTTTCCTTTTAGCTTGCATTTGCAGGTGTAAAAATAAATGATTAAAAAAACGGCTAGATACAACTTTTAAAAGAGAATAAAAATAAACTTTTAAAAAAAAATTATATTTTATTTTTGGCTTTCATGTTTTTTTTCTATTAAAGGTATTAAAGGGACATATACAATTAGACAGAGGAAAATGAGTCAATTTTGAGTAATTTTTTAAACTAGGAAATATTCATTCTACATTCATTCCACTGTAGGTGTAGATGTAGGATATTTAAGTATAAAAAAAAATGTTTTTGAATTCATTCTTCGTCAAAATGGCGGAACTGTGGTAGTCACAGAAAGGTTGCGGCGTGACTTCCAAAATGGTATACAGCCTCTAGTTCTCCATGAAATTCGAGCTGCATTAAAATATAAAAATTTTCTTATTTTAAAGAGTTTCTATCTGACGTTGAGAAAAATTTAAAAAATGCAAATTTGAAAAAATGGTACTCATTTAAAGACAAAAATCAAATTTTCATGCAAAATTTCTGCAGAATTTGTATAAAAATGTTTTTTCAAAATTTCCCAAAATCAATTTGTGTCATATAAAAGGTAATAATGTTATCAACATTTCTACCAAGGGGAAACTCAATTGGTTCAATAGTTTTTGTGTAATTATAATAATCGAGTACACCAGTTTCGAGAAAAATAGTAAATCCCCCTTCTTATTCTATCTTTTGCAGATGGAGTCGTTCGACAAATGAGCGTAGCTGTGAACAAAAGAGCAACTATAAACTGTAAAAAACTTGGGTGGCTATTAACCGAAACTTGTCCGGAAACAGTTAATTCTCCTACAAACATCCGGTCGAAGAGTGTACCTGTGTGCTCTTGCTTCTACATGCGGCGTGCGCTCCGGACCTGAGCGGACATGCAGAACGTTTACGGGCTATAACCTCAGAAGTATTTCAAAATTTGCTTTCAAATTTTCAGAATATCAGTTCTATTGTTTAAGAATATAAAGAAAAATCGATTTTCTGATCGTTGTAATTGTATAAGTCCCGATAATTAATTAATAAATTCAAATAGTTTTCTAAGAAATCTTATCAAATCAAGTCAAACAATAGTTTTCAATACGGAAAATATAGACATGCAAAAGATATATTTTAGAAAACAAGTAAAACAACCTAGAATCGCGCTAGAATCGAAAACACTTCAGAAATCTTAAATTTTCTAATAAATAAAAATATGCTAAGAGGAAACCCCACTTATGATGATATATAAGAATAGACATAAGGGACTAATATGCAGATTGAACAAAGCACAGAATAAAGAAGTCTTTACTTTATTTTGTACTTAAAAAACTTAGACAGTATTTCTATATTTGTTCATCAATATTTGGGAGGCTTAATTGGCCACTTTCTCCAAGAAAATTAACAAAAACAAAAAAAAAATGACTGAACTTTATACAGGGTGTAACAGTTTTTTTTTTTGGTGGTGCTTGCAAGATTTACAGGAATTATTGTTAACCAATATCTGAGATATAACTCGTTTTCTGCTGTTACCTTTTTAAACCAACTTTATAATACTCAGAGAATGATAGAGTGATACTGCAATGGAGAATAATTTTGTAGAAGGGGATTACTTTTGTATGACTTTGCAACTGCAACACATTTTAAAGTCAACATATTTTTTATGCCAATGCCGCTGAAGCACAGAACATTAAAAACTTTGAAGTGTTTCAAAGTTTTAAAAAATTTATCTTTCTTGAGTTATTTGTTAATTGTTTGAAGTTTTCAATAAAAAGTATTTGTTACTATTTATTTCTTAAAGCACTGTGTATAGTTTGTAAATCTCAATGTCAATGACCTCTGAGATTGATCTAGTTTAGGGGTAATACATAGTCCACCCGATATAAGGTTTGTTTCTGCAGCTCTATCAAACTGTTTTCAAACTATCAAATATACTCGGTCACTTAAGTTGTTACCTTAGAGCATATACGACTGGAGGCAGCATCTTAGTGGCCTAGAGAGTGTAGTGGAGGTTTAGAGAGAGAGAGGGGTATAGGAGTGTATATGCTATCTCTCTCTAGCAACATGCAATCGCGTACTGCTAGAGAGAGATGGCATATACCCTCATATACCCCTCTCTGTCTCTCTGTCTAAACCTCCGCTACACTCTCGGCGACCGAGACGCTGCCTCCAGTAGTATATGCTCTAAGGTTGTCATACTTTCACCGAGTTTAAGGTCACAAACCAATTGGTCAATTATCTTTGATAGTTCAGATCAGTCCTCAAATGCTGCAAGCCCTAGGAGGGCCAAAAACAAACAGCCACTGTTAATTAGGCGAACCAAGAATGGCCAAATATATCACCTCTTCATTTTAATATAATTATTTTAGTTTTCAGTCTATCAGTTTACGAGATGTAGCTAATTTCACGACTTTCTGCATGTAGTATTAGTTTTTACTGGAATCAAAATAGAGTCTGTATCGTACAGTGTTATGTATAACCTTACAGTTATTTATTTCAATGTTTCGTCGGTGGTTGTGTGGTTTCACTGTTAAATTTGTGACATGCATAAATATGCCTCCATACAAAATTACACCCTGTATAACTATCGGTCTTAGTATTCCTACATTTGTCCTAGTAAATAAGGCTAATAAAGACAACAGATTGCCAATTAAAGCATGGTACAACACATAAAAAGTTTAACGACAACTTTTAGACTGACCTTCTCCCAAGCGACCTGTTAGAATATAAATGTATGCGTTAATAAAAAAAATAAAGCATTAAAAGCACAAAACGTATGTGAACGATGGGCTTACCTTAGCTATAACATGGGGATCTATCGCTAATATCACAATGAAAGGGGTATTCGCATCGGAGAAGAGTATATGTACGGTGTCCAGCACCAGAAGCACCTTGTCCTGCTCGCAGCTATCCAAACCGTCCACGACGATGACCAATCTGGTCTGCTGAGAGTTCAATCTGTCCAGACACTTGACCATTTCCTTCATTAAGTTTACCTATAAAAGATATCAAATACTTTTCACGTCCATTTCTTCCAAGGGACATTTGATTACCTCTTGCCTCAAAGTCTGTAAGAACCCCTCGGATTTGAGCGTCTCCAATTTAGAAATGGACTTCTGCAAGTGTCTGCGCTGCGAAAAGAACACAGTCTTCAGCAGCTTGCTCCACGTGTATAAGTTTGCGACGGCGGCGATGCCCAATAGTAACGCCGCTATTATTAATATGATTTTCAAAGTGAAGCTCGTCATCTGATCGTACCTGAAGACGATAATACAAGAAAATTGTTTGAAACGATGTTTTTCTTACTCACTCATCCTTACTGACATGTATAAGATAAATGGTCAAGGCACACGTTCCTGTAATTATCATCATAAAGGTCATTTCGAATAAAGCGACGTAAGGCAGACAACACATCTTTCTCCAAGTCCATGATGAGGAGGATTTCACTAAAATAATGTAATAACAATAGCCGGCAATGATTTGCTTCAAGGTTAACAAAACCGTGATACAAAAAAACCACATTCTAGTGCAAAATTGTGACATCGTAGTTAAGATTTGGTCTGTCAATTGTAAAATTAGACTTCTCTTTTGGATTGTCTGTTTCTAAAGTTCGTTGTGGTCGAGAAAATACATACAAACACATTTAAATTGAAAGTTAAAGCAAGAACACAAATTTAAAACCGAAGTAGACTTACTGTCAATCTTATGTCATTTTAAAATTCACTGTCATAAAAACATAACCTCAATTAAATTATAGGTTAGAGATCTGTCAAAAATATTACTCACCTGGTTTTGGTTTAAAACTTCTATACAATCTCGTAGCAAGAGCTCCATATTGAATCTCTATGGCATCATATAAGGAACCAAGCATTTGTACTACAGAATTTTCACCTCCAGCCGTACTTGTAACTCTCGTCTGGTCGGTGAAAAAAAACCTGCAACCAGAATCGTTTATAAGAGTTTTATAAACGTTCCTCACTTTTCACCTTATAGGATGCGCCCCGGCAGCATCGCTAACCTGACCCGGTGGATGACAAAATAAAATTTGCAAAATGAGCTTCAAATTGTTCATCTTCCTCGTCAGCTTTAAGTTAAAATTATACGGCCAGTCCCAGTCATACCTCTTGCTGGCGAACCATATCAAAGCCAGAAAAATATAACTTAACACTAGAATCGCTACACCCACACTAAGTCCGACTATCCAAGACTGCAGAGACAGTCCCAAGATTGTACCGATTATCACACAGAAATGTACGAGCACCAAGAACAGTAAAACGGTAAACTGGAAGACTGGGTCTACCCATTCTCGAGCAAAATTTTTCATTTCCTCTAAAAAAAAATAAATATAAAAATTGTGAAGCACGATCCAATTAGCGTGGCTTACCTCTAAGTTTATTTAACAAAAACGATTTACCACTACCCCATTTGGCATATAACCCCACTGTTATAGGCATGGACAGCGAGGGTTCACTTAAAATATCAGCGAGGGCACTACTATAGAGATCATAACCTAACATATTTTCATTGTCTTCATTTGTATTTAACCTTCCTGCAAACGATAAATTTTTTTATGCTTAGTTATTAAGAACTTGGGTAAAAAACTTACTTGCTCCAAATATTTGTCCTAAAATAGTTTTCTGGTGACTAATATCTATATTATAAGGCGTCTCTCCTGCCCTATTCGGCCTATAAAGCAATTGACTATTTTTTGGATTACGCAGCAAAATTTCCACTATTCCTTTAGACCGAGCTCTCATTGCTATATGTAGAGCGGTATCTCCCTTCTTATCCGCTGCAGAAACTTTAGCCTTCTTGTCCAGCAACAACTGGACGATTTCCGCGTTTCTCGAACGGACAGCTTTCAAAAGAGGAGTGTCTCCGTCCTTGGTCGCTATCTCCAGATCCGGGTTACAGCTAAGAAGGAGTTTTACTATGTTAACATTGCCTTTTTCGACGGCCATGTATATCGCGGTCTTGCGGTCTTTGCCTGGTATATCCACATCTGCGTATTTCTTCAGTAGAGCTTCTACTACACCCCTGTGACCACCCTTGACCGCATGTATTAAATTTGTGTCTCCAGACCGGTCCTACAACCATTTGCAGAAAATAGAAAAGTATATCATACAATGTATGTGTGTGTGTGCAATTCTAGTGCATCGTATCGGTTGTTCTCTCCAATTGAAATGAAAAAAATAAATAATTCCTTACGTGTTGTTCAACTTACTGGTTGTTCAACAAAATTAGCCAGTTGGCTACATTTAATAAAAGGGCAAAATACGATCTCATCAATTAGATGGCGCTAGTGTTTTGTCACAACAACGTGTATTATGTATGAACTTCTGTAATTAATCATATATTTTAACTCAAGAACAGCAAAAAATAGATTTAATTTGAATAGAGTCTAATCTATTATGAATTTGAAAAAAAAGCTCAAGCGTCTACTGAAAGAACTGCATCTTAAGTATCTACGAAGGAGTTTTTAATCTAGTATCAATATTTACTTGAATGTTTATGTAAGCACCAGCTGCCATTAATGCAGTAGCAATTTCGTAATACCCTTCCTTACAAGCAATTGTCAGCGGGCTGTATCCGTCTTTGTCTAAAGCGTTTACATTGGGCTTGTGTTCTAATAACAGGCTCACTACGTCCACGTGGTTTCCGTAAGTGGCGACTAAAAGCGCTGTCCACGAGTACATCCCCGCTGTGTCTACATTCGCACCTAAAATTAAAAAATATTTTGTTTTATTAACAGCCAGAGCTCAGTTTTTGTTGAAAATTGCAAACAATTAACTAGCGAATGGTTGCAAAAACCAAAGAGAACAAAAATAAATTAAAATCATAATATATCTTTAAATACAGAAACTGAATTAACACACATTCTTACCCGCTTTCAGCAATATTTCTACGATTTCCGTATAACCTTTCCGGCTAGCCCAAACTAGGGCTGTCGTTCCATATTTATCACCTACATTCACTTTTGCCCCCTGATGCACTAAAGCTTCCACTATCTGAGTATATCCACGACCCGCAGCCCATAGTAATGAGGAAATATGAAAGTTTCCATGAGCATTTACATCGGCACCACGCTCGATAAGAAATAATGCAACGTCTATGCGACCTTTGTACGTGGCCCACATCAGTGGGGTCCATCCGCCCTAAAATACAAGTATATTTAAGCTACGATAAATCCGAATTCCATTTTATATTATACCATATCCCTGTGGTCAATTTCGGCATTGTGTTCTAATAGTTGACAAACGATATCGACGTAGCCTTCCTTGGACGCGCACAGAAGTGCCGTCCATCCATCATTGTCTTCGGAATTTGGATCAGCACCATGACTCAGCAGTTCGCGAATGTGTGAGGATCTGCCTTTGGACGCTGCCACCATAAGTGCGGTGGTCCCATTCTGAAAAACTTTACAAGTAGAATGCATGCTTTTATTTGAATTAGTTGACTCACCTCATCTTTATCATCAATCTGTACTTGTTTATTTTCAAGAAATGACTGCAGTCCTTGTAAGTTGTCATTGTTTATGTAATCAGTCAATGAGCGGAAGCACAATGACACCATCGACTCGGTACGGTGCAGCGTCTAGAAATAAAAAATGTTATTCAGATGTCAACACAGAAACGTAAGTGTGTCCAGGTTGTATACAGCGACCGGAATTAAAGGTATTATTCCGCTTCAATCTCAGCAACCAATTAGAGAAGTATTAAAATTTATTTATAGGATACTGTGGGATGTTATTGGGTGTAAGGCATACTTAAGTTAAATGCAAATTGCTTAAATACACTTATCGGCACTTAAACAACAAGAGACAGTACAGAACGAAAACTAAAAGGAGGGTCAAGCCTATGTACAACTTACTATGTTCCTTTTATAGTAATAAACCATTTTGCGAAATTAAATTCAACTTGAAATTGAATTACTTTACGTACAGATCTTACAGTTTTCACGATAAAAGTGTAACACAACAAGACCAGTTGTTTGAGTCTTGGATTCGTACATACTTCCATAGAACACATAAATCTTGTGATTGTCTAGCATTAACGATTCTTTTATAGTGCTCCTAAACTAATGTGGGACGGAAAATTGCAATTGGATTAAAAAATGTTGGCACTAGTGAACAAAAGGCTATTAGCATAGTGGTTGCCAAAAGTTCTCAAGTACAATGCAATTTTGACAACAGTTCCAAGTGAACGCAATTTTGAAGAATATAATTCAAAAATTATTTATGCTCTCTGCAATCATTTACACTATATATGGCAAAAATGAGTAAATCTTTAACATTTGGAGAATATATATGAATTACTGGAATATCTAAGTAAAAATGTAAAAACATTCAAGTAAGTATGTTCTTTATTTAATTTATTTTTCTCAAATCATGTATAGACTACAAGCCCATCAAAAATTTTCAAGGGGTCTTTTGACCCAGCATGAATTACTTATAAATCATCAATACTACCACATATAACAATAACTTTAGAAACTATGCCATCAATTCTTGTTGGTACAGGTGAGTACACAGATAAGCTAAACCTGTCCACCAATGGGGGTGGTTTTCGGCAAAACATTTTTGTATGGCATTTTAAAGTATATAGGTTATACAAAAAAAATTAACCTCGACCTAATGCCACATAAAAATAGCAATACCAGAAGCCAGGAAAATTTTTGATTTTCTGAAAATTTTGGCCCGGGTTTTGGTGATTTATTACAATACGGCATTTATACTGCAATTTTCGGATCGATACATAGATAAATTTTTAAGCGACGCCATACGTACTTGCTGCTCCAGGGGTTAGGAATACAGGGTGCAACCCTCTATTTGTAAGTAGCGTATGGGGGGTGATTTGGACCAACATCAATTTCAGTAATTTTAATTCTATTTTATAAAATAATGACATTTTTGTCCATGCCGCACATTTTTCATGAAACGTGCTTACTATAGGAAAATTAATTTTCCTCTGAAAAGTAGGATTTCACGTTGAAAAATTTTTGTACGACATTAATATATTTTTATTAATACTGACAACAAAAATCAACAAAAACAAAATGCCGTACAAAAAAAATGGTTCTAAATGGCTTGAAATATATTTTTGCAAATAAGTATTACTTGCAAGAATTGATTTTATTTTTACTACTATTTTCTCCTTAATACAAATTATTTACTACTGTACGGCCTTTCTATAATAAGACTTACAATATCATATAGAAATATTTTTCAGTAATGCCGTACATATTTATCGATACAGGAGTGAGAAACCTCGGATGCAAACCCCTATATTCTGACCCTTATGGTTTCCGATCATTGAAAAATGATCGGCATTGTTGTTAAAACATTATTTAAGTGTAAAATAATTTTTAAGTAATATGTCGTTAAAAAACCTTAGGACGATATAAAAATTATTAATTTTATAAATTTGAAAAGCTTATATGTATATTTTTTTTTCACAAGTACCTACATAAGTAAAATTTTTTCAAAATCCAATAAATTATTATTAAAAAATCAATAAAAAATCTGCATTCGAATATTTTTTAAATAATTTTGAATTATTTTTCTTTTAAAATTAAAATTACCGCTTCGAGATTCTACCTGGCCATCGGAACATCTTCTTTCTCTGTCTTTTTTTTCTTTTCGGCATGTACATTTTTATGTGGTTTTATTCATGTTTATAACCGACAATCTTAAAGTTGTTTTTGTAATAAATGCACTTTTAAATTGCAATGGCTTCATCACAATTTTTGCATAAATAAATTGTTCAAACAATTGTAACAGAAGTTGCAAATATGCAAATGCGAGGGTACTATTACTTCAAAACATATATTATATCACTGTTTTAAATTAAGTATTTATATAGGAATTCTCATGAATATTGAGTTAAAATTAATTGTTTACTATTATATTTATTTAAAAATAATTCTTTCTTGCACGTCATTAAATTTCTAAATTTCTCAAAATATCTTCTCGATTCTCTATACACAATTTTTTTTTAACTTAAAGACAATGCCATCATAATTTCTACGGTATAAATTAAATTTCTCTTGAAATATTAGGATAAAACTCATTTTGGACTTATACAGTTTCGGAGAATTGTTCCAACAAATATGTATGGCATTGCAATTTTCATTCTTTATGTTACATTTCTGATGAAAATTTGTAAATGCCATATTGTTATTAATGACTTAAAAATGTAGAAAAAATTTAATGAAAAATATCAGCTACGTAAAATCCACTAGTTAAAAACGTACAGCATTGTTTTTTTTTATTTTCTTATGAAAAGTCAATTACAGCCATAATATTTTGTAAATAACATTTTCAGTTTATAACAAGGAATTTTCAAAATATTGTAAATTTTCATAATATATTTATTTGTTTTTTAATTTGAATTTTTAATTTGTACGATTTATTATGACCGGCCATGATTTAGTACGACAGTTTTTGGTTATATTTTTCCAAAATATAAGTAATTGTTTATAAACTTTTGCATTAACCATAATTTTCAGACGGCAAAGTTGCTAAGAATTATTTGGAGAGTTAAATAATCATGTGGAATCGATAACGTACATTTTCCAATGACTTGAAACAATGTGGGCTAAAATAGAGGGTTGTGCCCTGCATTTGTAACCCCTGTATTAGCAGATACGTACGGCGTCACTAAAAAATTTATTTACGTATCAATAGTAAATCTCCAAAAACCGGGCCAAAATTTTCCTGGCATCCGGTATTGCTATTTTTGTACGGCATTAGGTCGAGGATCATTTTTTTTTGTATAACCTATACTGTACTTTAGAAATGCAGTACAAAAATGTTTTGCCGAAAACCACCCCCTCTTAGTGGACAGGTTTAGCTTACCTGTGTACTCACTTGTACCAACAAGAATTAACGACATGGTAGTATTGATTTATAAGTAATTCATCGGTCAAATGACCCCTTGAAAATTTCCGATGGGCTTGTAGTCTAGTACTTACCACAAAGATTGTCCAAAAATGAGTGAGCTATACTTTAAGGGTATGCTTAGATGAAAATAAACCAATTTACTTATATCAAGTTAAAAAATGTATTCTGTTCCGTTTATCTTTAAAGTAACTGTTCATTATTTTTTTAATTTTTCAATAAAATTCGTTATAAGGTTTTTGTTGTACGGGCTCATTCTTTTGAAGACTGCCTATATAAAAAATTGTATTGTATAGCAATAGCACACTCTGACAAACTGCACAAGGAATAACTAAAGCTTTATATATTACTAGATTAGTTTAAAAAACAACAAATCACTCATAAAAAAATTAAAAAACAAATCTACTTAAGTTAGAAAAGTAGGAGCAAATAAAAAATTCTACCAAAAGAATTATTATATTACAAAACCTATTCAGTTTTTGCAAACTTTTTCCTTTAAAGAGAGGGAGACAAAAGTCCCGATCAGCCTTACAACGTAAATTTTAGTTCCACATAAAAAAAAACAGCGAGCATTCGAGCAAGTTAAATAGAACCAAGAGGGGTTAGTCGAACACAACTAACATTGTGAGAGTGGCGCCTTATTCCCAAACCGAAGGTAAACTTGCTAGTCAAAGTTTGTTCACCTTCCGGGCTGGTCAAAGTAAATGACGGCAGGTGAAGGTGGGTCAGGGAGCCCTTCCAATTGGGCTCCGGGATGTGTAAATTCAAGAATGATGGTCTTCTGCGACCGTTGGAGGATTCCGGCTGGGCTGGTATGCTGTGGCGGGTTTTTCGAGACGGTGATTCTCGAGGGGAGTTTTGAGAGTCCATAGTGTATCATACCTTGATTAATCACTCTAATTAATTACATTTGCATTTATATGGCAACCCGTAAAACACGTTTGCGTTGGAAATAGTGTATGGTATCATAGTCACACGAACAGAGGGGTACTAAATAATACATACGGTAGTATAAATTCTAATAAAAGAGAATTGAAGTTATAAGGTCACTTGGCAAATCAATATGGGCATATTTGTTTAGGGGTCGGGTATTTGTCTTATTTTTGTAAATCCTATCATGGTCATTATATTGAGGAACGCCATCTGTACTTATATACTGGCATAACAAATTTTATTTAATTCGGATACAGCATTTTAGAATTATTTAGAAAATAATTGAGTTATAATGTACAAAAATTAATCAAAGAAACCTTTGTGCCCAAAACAATTTCACAATGAAAAACTCGTAAAAAACAAAAAACGGTCATCACTATACCGCTCACTTTAATTACAGTTAACTTTTAAAAATCAATCATCGAAAAATCAAACTCTTTTCATTATCAAAACTTAGATGGAAATTTGTTTTTTAATTAACTTCAATAGTTTAAAATTTAAAAAAAAATGTATTCCAAGTCTTGATAATGAAAAATGATTGATCTTTCGTTAATTATAACTGAGGTGCGTGATATAATATGTGAGTATAGCGAGTTCTTTGATTAGGCAAAAATAATTTAACAAAAATAACCCTCGACTAATCCTTTTGGCACAATTATTTAATAAATGTTTTCACAGGTGGCAAAATACAAAATAAACAGATAAAAAACTGAAACTATGTCACTAATAAATAACAAATCAATCTCGTTTTTTATCTTTTGCG